AAAAAATTGAGCTCAAAAATAAAGGCAAACTGCCTACAACTGAATCAGACACAGAAAATACAACTTCACCCAAAACTCGCATTCAACATAACTTCAACAAATTATATAAACAATATCTTAGTGAATCTTTTGCTGAATGGCCAACTCAAGAACTTCAAATAGATGACTCAATCTTTTTTAAAGAAAAAGAACATGAAGCCACCTTTTTGAAACCTATACCAACCAAAACCTTAGATGATCTTGCATCTGCAGCAGAAAAATCTTTCTGTGAATCTAACTCTTTAGAAACTAACAAAGGCAGGCGTGGCCTGTTCTTTTATCTATATCTTGAAGCATATCAAAAAAATGCAATGATAAATCTTAACATTGCAAATCTAGATAAAAATACAACTATTGAACTTTTAACTAAACAACCTATTAGCACTGACTCTCTTGCAAGAGTTATAACACGACTCGATACTTATGACCAACGGCTCACATATTCCCAAATGGTCAAATACTATCAAGAAATTGCTTATCCTGAAGCAGATAAATGTCTTCGGGAAAAATTCAATATCACCTTCCAAATTCCTAACCTCATAGATGAGTCTCTCTTTCTTAAAGAGACTCCTTTTCAATAAATCTGTCTTCTACAATCATTGATGCAGCCGCCACCTTACTAAATGATACACTCATAGTAGTTAGTAAGGAAAATGATGTAAGTGGGCGGGCGGGCAAGCCCATTTACGCGGAGGACCATTTATATGACGGTCAGACCCAACGTACAGGGCAGACTATGGAATCCTGCGCAGCTGTGAGAACCGAGCTTGAAACGGCGAACGACCTTGTAGAAGACAATCCTATTACTGGCAAATCATTTTCAACATCTTTAGACCCCTATGATGAGCCAACCCAACATACTAACTATCCAAATACAAATACTGCCTACATCAATGAACCACACATAATCACATACAATCTTAATACATGTTATAACCAAATCTTACTATCTCTCAATCTTCCTCCACTTCCATATCCCCAAACTATCAATTCTTTTATTAAACACCTTGAATCCTTCTACTATAACCTTAACAATGTATACAACTCCTCATTCTATTTATTAATTAAAGAAGACTACAGCATTGCATATGTTTATCCTGGATCTGAACATAACTTTGCACGGCGTGGTTATTTTACAACACCAGTTGAAAGTTATAAATACTTTCCCTTCATTCCTCTCTCTACCTCCGACATAACCTCCATTAAATCAGAAACTATCCCTAATCTGGTTAAAGATGACTGGACCTACAACCCATATTTCTACTTTCAACAAGATGTTCGTCTTAACCTTTATAATACTGAACACACTACTGATCCAGACCCAAGACCTCTTCCACACTCATCACATCTATGCTTCAACAGATTTCTCAGATATTATAACTTGCCAACACTACCTGAACCACAAACTATTATCTCATTTCTCAATCATCTCAGCCTTTTTGGATACAATCTAGAAAGCTCTCACTTCAATACCCTTACTATCTCTATTAAAAAAGACTACTCTGAAGCACACATATACCTACCTTTTGAACCTAAACCACTACCAAACCATTTTGTCCCACTCAGAAAAGCTCTAAAATATTACTGCAATATCACTCTTAAATCTAATAGCTATATTACACCCAATACACTAACAGATCTTTTTTTAGCTACTCCACCATTAATTTCTGAATCTCTCACTGTAGAACAACAAACCGCTATATCACAATCAACAGAATTACTAGCTACACCAAATCTATTCTCACCACCTAATATAAATAATACCTTTACTAATACAAACAGTTCATCTAATACACAACATCTCACCAATTCATCACTATATTTAAATATTGCTACACACAATGTTCAAGGGTTTAATACCCCAGAAAAACGACTCTTATGGGAAAATTATTGTTTAACTAATAATTTGCATATAATCAGTTTAACAGAAACTAAAATTTCAAGCAACACACCTACAAGATTCTACAACACTCAACACTACCAATACTATTGGTCAAATTCACCAGAATCTAAAGAAGGCACCTGCATCATGATCCGGAAATACATTCAACCTCATATTCACAATATTCTTACCCATCCAGGTGGTGCAATTGCTATAGACTTATTCTTCAAACACGACTACAAATTTAGAATCATTTCTGTTTATCTCTCATCAACCAACTTAAATGATCGCAAAGCAACACAAAACAAGGTTATACTGTGGACACAACAAGCAATATCCTCTAATTTACAACCCATAATTTTAGGAGACTTTAATGCAAATAACGACTCTACAATTTCATCAGCTATCAAATTTCAACTTCTCAATTATCTACATAGCATAAACATGTATGACCTTGCTGATCATACTAACAACACACAAGACACTTGGCACAGTACACGTTACCAAAGTAGAATTGACTACATATGGTCATGTGATACAATAATACCATATCTTCATACATTTGAACTTGATAACTCCTCCTCATCTACTAATAGTGACCACCAAATCTTAATCTCAAAATGGATTTTTCCATTCGCCTTATCTAAAAAACAATACAAAAACAAATGCAAAAGAAGAGTATTCAACTACAAATCAATGAGTAAAGAAAAATGGGAAACATTCTCTGACCAAATTAATTCTAATATGATCCAGCACCAGGTGCCAACAACAACTAATACAACTGAAAGTTTAGAAAAAACTTGGCATAAAATTAGCACATGCATTATTACTGCTGCACTTCAGCATATCCCTAACAAGAAATACACTATAAAAAATTTACAACACACTTTTACACCTAAAGCAACACAGTTACATAAAGACCTCAAAACAATCGGACATATTATTCACCGTGTTAAGAGATATTTCTCAAACAACACTCCACTCCCAAACAATATATATAGTCTAATAGATAACATAAATACCACACATAGTTTTTCTATCAATCCTCCACCTAGTAGTCAACTTGAGTTGGCAACATGGGTACTAAATGCTAAATCTTATTGGAAAACTTTATACAATGCTAGAAATCTAGAAAATGCTCAACAACTCCAGAAACATATTAATACAGCCATCAATAACAGATGCGAACAACTAATTAATCAACCAACTAAAATGATCAATAGTATATTAAACAGACACAAAGACACTGTACAATTACACAACATTAAGACTGACACTGATATTATCACCAATCCTACTGAAATTAAACAACATATAAGCAATCACTACAATGATTGGACATCCCATAATCCTTATAATGAACTACTATTTAACCAATACTGGCAAGCAGAATATCAACCTAACCTTAATATCAATACAGACTGGTACACATCCATA